GAGGATCAAAGAATGGCGCTACCTTTCCGTATAGAGGGGCGAACGCCGTCTCTCGGCGACTAGCGGCGAACGCGGGGGGGGGGTTCCAACTCCGGCCACAAATGCAAGGGGAACGGGAGTAAATCGCTGCTCCCTGATTATTTTGGCGATCTATGGAACGACAGTAGTTTTTGACATAATAAGGGAATAGTTTACAATAATTTGCGCTAAGTTGTGCGCCATGAAATAACTTATTTTTTTTTTTTAATTGCCTGAGCAGCATCATGCAAATTGCTCGATGTTGTTTGACCACAACAGCGAGCAATTTGGGCACGAGCGCATCGAAGGGAAAGCTGATTGCTTTTGCAATACCTTGCAGTTGACCGTCAACGTCGTGTGGGCCCCAGCTGCGTCAACCGAACGGCAGGTGCAGCAAGGATTCGCACTCCCCTGAGGGTGCCTGCTTTACCAGCGGCCAAATCTCCACGTCACGCACAAGACACGCGCCTGCGCGCGGTATCGGCGATCCAGCGCTGCACCGATAAAGTGGCTGGCCGCGCCCCGGAGAGCACCACAACAGCGAGCAATTTGGGCACGAGCGCATCGAAGGGAAAGCTGATTGCTTTTGCAATACCTTGCAGTTGACCGTCAACGTCGTGTGGGCCCCAGCAGCGTCAACCGAACGGCAGGTGCAGCAAGGATTCGCACTCCCCTGAGGGTGCCTGCTTTACCAGCGGCCAAATCTCCACGTCACGCACAAGACACGCGCCTGCGCGCGGTATCGGCGATCCAGCGCTGCACCGATAAAGTGGCTGGCCGCGCCCCGGAGAGCACCACAACAGCGAGCAATTTGGGCACGAGCGCATCGAAGGGAAAGCTGATTGCTTTTGCAATACCTTACAGGTCTGTAGGTTTTGAACCCTGTTGCTTTCTTCTTTCCTTATTTTCTTTTCGCTCGTGACCTTGATTGCTCGCTGTTCGAAATGTGTGACAAACCTCCGTCGACTATCAAAGAACTGCTAAAATACGTCACTGACCTGAACGCAGGGCTTAGAAAAGATATTGATGACGTAAAAGAAGGTATGACGTACATGAACGAAACTTTTGAAGAGCTTCGTACAACAAAGGTGGAACTAGATGCACTTAAAAAGGAGCATGCAGCGTTAAAACTGGAAAAAGAGCAACTGGCACAATCGCTTGGGACCACGCAGAAAGAATTAACAGAGCTGAAGCAATACACCAGGCTCAGCAATCTTGAGATTAAGGGGATTCCGCAAAACCAGAACGAATCACTGATGGAAGTTGTTCAGAAGATAGGGGATAAAGTTGGAATGTGCGTCGAACCCAAAGATATTGACGTGGTGCATCGTGTGCCCACAAAGGACAGGACAAAAACAAACATCATTGTAAGGTTCTCGTCACGTGCCGTGCGAAATAAAGTCTTGCGAGCGGCAAAAAAGAAAAGGCTCTCAGCTAGCGATATCGGGTTTCCAGATACCAATGCGGTGTATATTAACGAGCACCTCTGTCCAGAATATAAAGCTTTGCTGGGCATGGCAATTGCTAGAAAGAAAGAAAAAAACTGCAGATATGTGTGGGTCTCGCAGTCAAAAATACTAGCAAGGAAGGCAGAAAATTCGAATGTCATTCACATCGCTTCTCGAGATGACCTGGCTAAGATAGCATAGCCTCAAAAACCAAGACACCGAGCTAGAAATGCGTAACGGTGTGACGTGCACCATGCCGTGTACGAGCTCTGAAGCTATAAGCCTTCTACACTGTAATGTTAGGAGCTTAAACAAAAACTATGATCCACTGGTCGCTTTGTTGACGCGGCTGGATGAGCGGTACAACGTTGTGGCAATCTCGGAGACGTGGCTTAAAAAAGATGAATTTATGAACATTCCTAATTATAGATTTTTATCCCTGCCAAGATTGGCTAGTTCAAGAGGTGGTGGCGTAGCATTATACATATCTTCACAAACCATATATAAAATATTACCAAACTTGACAGAGACGAAAACAGGCCTGTATGACATGCTGTTTGCGGAACTGGATTGTGGAGTCATTGTTGGTGTAATATACAGACCGCCAGAATCAAACACTCGGGCATTCCTAGAAAAGCTGGAAGATGTGTTGTACCGTCTTGCGAACAAAAATAACAAAGCGATTATCTGTGGTGACTTCAACATAAATATAACAGACCCCTCAAGTACAGAATACCGGAACCTCCTGCTATCTTACGGCTTCCAGAACCATATTACAGATCCAACAAGAGTAACACTAACGTCTTGTTCAACAATAGATCATATACTCTCCAATTTTGAAGACAGCTCCGTAAAAGCTGGGGTTATAACAGAAAACGTCGCAGATCATTTCCCTACTTTTATTGTCGCTCCCAATGCAGAAAAGAACCTTCAAAAAGAGCCCACAGTCGGCCATGGTGTATCAAGGTGGAATTACGAGGCAACTAAAAGGTCCCTTCAGGAGACAAACTTTTCTCAGATCAATTTTACCGACACTAACAATGCATATGATACCTTTTCAACACTGTTCAAATCTTGTTGTATAGCGCACAAATTCGTATCTCGCCGGGCAGCACAGCTTTATTCTCCCATTTGTCCCTGGATGAACGAGGAGATACTGAAGTTAATTAGGCTCAAGGAACACTGGTATAACAAAATGAAGCAAAACAAGGACAGCGACTATTACAGGGAAAAGTTTAGAGTTGCACGGAACCTATCGCTATCCACCATGCGGAAGCGTAAAAAGCAATATTTTAGCAGCCGTATTGCAAAAGCTAACGGTAGCTCCAAAGAAATATGGCGCACAATTAACCTTGTAATGAAGTCCTCTCAACAATGTAACATTTTACCAGATTTGAACATTCTTAATTGTGATCAAGCGCACCTTGTGTCAATGTTCAATGACTTTTTCATTAGCATAGGTACAGTCTCCGGCGATATGAAAGACCCACTGGGAGCGCGTGGCCGAGGCGGTGGCTGGTGGGGGCGCTGCGAGCGCTCCGGGCAGTTCCATTCTGCTTCGAGGGGAGGACGCTCATTCGGCACTCGGCACAAACTGATAAGCGCGTTTCGCTTTATCTGAGCCCGAGTGAGCGTCCTCCCCTCGAAGCTGAATGGAATTGCCCGGAGGGCTCGCAGCGACCCGCCAGCCACCGCCTCGGCCACGCGCTCCCAGTGGGTCTTTCATATTGCCGGAGAGTGTACATCCTCAGCTGCGGTATCAGATGAAACGTCAAAAATTATCCTACCTAGCCCATGCATTAATACATTTGTTTACGTAGAAATAACAGCCGCCGAAATTGTTGGCGTTGCCAGACAAATGTTATCAAACAAAGCTATGGGCCACGACGAAATCTCGGTAAACCTATTGAAAGACAACATTGACATCCTGTGCTACCCACTACAAAAACTGTTTAACGAGGCATTTTTATCGGGAATTTACCCAGAAAAACTTATGATTGGGCGAGTAGTACCAATTTACAAAAGTGGTGACCCTAATGACCTGGCTAATTATCGCCCGATTACAATTCTGTCCTGCATTAATACACTATTTGAAAAACTAATTGCCGCGAGAATAATGAACTTTGTCGAGAAATACAACATTTTGGTTGCTAATCAACATGGTTTTCGGAAAAACTTCTCTACAGGCACAGCAGTACACTCCGTATCAGAAATAGTCAATTCCTCCCTCAACAAAAATAGAACTACTATAGGCATATTCCTCGATATAAAAAAAGCTTTCGATTCTGTTAATCACGACATTCTTTTACAAAAACTTGAGCGTTAGGGTTTTCGAGGGCCAGCTGGCAAATTTTTTCGTAGCTACTTAACAAACCGCACCCAATTTGTACAAATTTCCCATAATCAATCTACAACCGCGATAGTGAAGACTGGTGTACCACAGGGGTCGGTGTTAGGACCGATACTTTTCTCTCTTTTCATCAATGATTACGCAGCTTGCCTCAGACATTCCGAAGCAGTTTTATACGCCGATGATACAGCCTTACTAGTATCACATCATTCTCTTGAAGAGGCCGAATTACTAGCAAATAACGACTTGAAAAATACGATAACTTGGTTTAATTGCAACAAGCTGGTACTAAATATTAAAAAAACTAAGTTCATTGTTTTCGCGTCTGATCGGAAACCACAATCATTTACATGTAACCTGCATCTAGGAGGTTTACACATCGATCAAGTTATCACTTATAAATACCTAGGTATTACCCTAGATTCAACACTACACTGGGCTCCCCACATTGACGAGCTATGTAAAAAATTAACCTTCGGATGCTTTTCATTAGTGAAAGCACGGAAACATTTTAGCAAACAAACATTACGCATGATTTACTTCGGTGTGTTTCATACTCATTTAACCTATTGTGTTGAATCATGGGGTTTCACTTACGCGTCATATCTAGCGAGAGTTACCATTCTGCAAAGAAGGGCAATCAGGATAATAGCAGCAGCACCTATACATGCATCAGCTAAGCATCTTTTTAGTGAATTAAACATACTCCCCATCAACTTAGCTCGCGACCATAAGACTGCCACTTTAGTCCAAAGAATTTTAACCCAGAATACTCCATATCACTCTTCTATATTCTGTAGGCTGGTACGAACTACAGCACGAGAAAGAGAGCCAGTAGGCGGGGTAAAAGACGACGAAGGTGCACGGGACCACAGGACGGAACACAGAACACGGGCCTTGGACAGCATGGCGGACGGGCTTATGCTACCTCACCTTATTTCAAGTAACGTCTGTAAATAAACGGTTTATTCGTGTAAACTACATGGTGTCAGAAGCGAAGAAACCCAAGACCAGCCAGCTCCAAGTGTGAGTAGCTCCAAGCTGCAGTGAAAGCGAGAGACAAGTCACGAACGATGCCGGACCCGGTAGATCACACGCAGTCATCAAACGGGAATCCAACCGTGGCGCTTCCCACGTCGGGAGGAGTCCTCGCCAGTCTGCTGCCACCCCCTAGGCCACTTGATATGTCCGGCGACTTGGAAGAGTCCTGGAAAAACTGGTGGGATGAGTTCAAGTTGTTTTCAACCGCCACTGGACTCAAGTCACAAGACGCCGAGGTGCAAGCTGCAACATTCCTCGTGACCATCGGGGAAGACGCAAGGCGGGTCTACAAAACCTTCAGGTTTGAAAACCCAGGGGACGAAATGCGCGTAGAAAAGCTAGTGGAGCTGTTCGAGAGGCATTGCAAGACAGCAACAAACGTCAGCTACAGGGATTTCGTGTTTGGAACACGGAACCAGCGAGACGGTGAACGGTTCGACGACTGGCTTACCGACCTACGTACACTCGCAACCCAATGCGAGTTTGGCGAAATGCACGACCGCATGTTACGGAGTAGGATCATTCTCGGAATGACCAACAAGCGACTACAACAGCGCATGATTAACGAAGACCCAACGCTGGATCAAGTGATTCAAAAATGTCGAACCGAAGAACGTGGAGCCCAGCAGTTCAAAGCTATTCAAGCTGGTGCGACACCCACCGTAATACATGGGTTACACTCGGAAGAATGCTCTCGCTGTGGATACCTTAAACACACAAGCGAAGGCTGCCCAGCAAAGAATGCGAAATGCAAGAACTGTGGCAGGAAAGGACACTTTGCACGTGTGTGCCGCACACCAGACAAGACAACCAAGCATAAAGGTACGCCACGAAGAAACGTACGCCAAGTAGAACGATGCAAGACCTACGACTCGGACGAGGAAAAGTTGGTCTGCAGCCTACACAATGGTGACGGCGACGAAGAGTTCTGGTGTGCAGATGTTAATATCGCAGGGAAGCAAGTCGACTGCAGAATCGACACAGGAGCGAACTGTTCCGTAATGTCTGCGATGCAACTTAGCCGTGTCACGACTCAGAAGCCACAAGTTCTTACTACTAGAATTGGCTCTTTTTTTGGACACGTCAGCAAAGCAGAAGGCCGTATCATCCTGCCAGTCATGCACGGTAACAGGAGTACCGAAGTGAAATTCTACATCGTGCAACGGGAAGTGCCCACCACGATTAGCGGTACCATCGCGGAAAAACTAAACTTGATCAAGCGAGTGGCATCCGTGGAAAAGCACTGCAGTCAGACGGTGCAACAACATGAAGACATCTTTCATGGATTGGGAGAATTAAAAGGCGTCAAATACCACATGAGACTCAAGCCAGATGCACAAGGCGTGATCCAGCAGCCGCGTACAGTCCCGGTCGCTATCAGGGACAAGCTCAAAAGCCACCTGGAAGATCTGGTGCAACAAAGAGTGATTGCGCCAGTAACAGAACCAACGGAGTGGGTCCACCCTATTGTGGTTGTACAAAAGAAAGCCAAACTCCGACTGTGCCTTGATCCTCAAGAGCTGAACAAGGTCCTCATGCGGGAAACCTACTGTATGCCTACGTTAGAGGACATTGCCACACGATTGGAAGGAGCCAAGATCTTCTCGACGCTAGACGCAGCCACAGGGTTTTGGCAAATCAAGCTCGACACGCCCAGCTCGTACTTGTGTACTTTTGAGACGCCGTTTGGGAGGTATAGATTCCTGCGAATGCCTTTTGGCATATCGTCTGCTCCCGAGGTGTTCCAGAAGACAATGCACATGGTGTTTGAAGGCTTAGACGGAGTAGAGATCATGATAGACGACATCCTCATCTGGGGAAAGACGACTGAGGAACATGACTGTCGGCTTCAGGCGGTACTACAAAGGTGCCGAGAGGTCAACCTACGACTGAACAAGGAAAAGTGCAAGCTCTGCATGAAACAAATCAAGTACCTGGGTCACATTTTCTCAGCAGAGGGACTCTCAATCGATCCGGATAAAGTGAAAGACATCCTTGCTCTACCAAGACCGAACAATGTGGGCGAACTGAAGAGCTTCCTAGGAGTGGTAAACTACCTGGGAAGATTCATTCCTAACATGTCAGACGTGAGTGCGTCGTTGAGGCAACTCCTAAAGAAGGAGACAGCCTGGTCATGGACAGAAGAACAAGAGAGAAGTTTCACAGCCCTTCTGACGGCTCTGACGGTCGCACCCACGCTGCGGTTCTACGACAAAAACAAGCAAGTAACGCTGTCAGTAGATGCAAGCTCCAGAGGAACAGGTGCAGTGTTGCTGCAGGAGGGACATCCAGTAGCTTATTCTTCAAGGTCCTTGAGTGACGCTCAGAAGAACTATGCACAAATCGAGAAGGAGTTGTTAGCGATCGTACACGGATGCAGTCGATTCCACGACTTCATCTTCGGACACACCGTTGTCGTGGAGTCGGACCACAAGCCATTGGAGGCTATCTTCCGAAAGCCTCTCAACCAGTGCCCTCTCAGGCTACAGAGGATGAGACTAACCCTTCAAAAATATGAACTTCAAGTTAAGTACACCCCAGGAAGAGAGCTATACATTGCTGACACACTCTCTAGAAATCCATCAAAGGAGGAAGAGCCAGAGGTTTTCGAGGTGAACGTCTTGGAGTGCCTCCCCATCAAAGACGAAACCTTAGAAGAATGTCGGAAAGCGATAAGTAAAGACAAAGATATGACCACCATGTTAGAGTATGCAAGAGGTCAGTGGCCAATCAGCAAAGAAGAAGTACCAAATACTCTGAAGCAGTATTGGCCATACAGAGACGAGATACATGAAGAGGATGACTTGCTGTTCAGGTCAAATAGACTCATCATTCCAGAACAACTGAAGAGTGAAATACTAGTAAAGTTACACAGGGCGCACAGCGGTGTAGAGAAAACACTACATCGTGCCAAAGAAGTTCTCTACTGGCCTACAATGCAGAAAGACATAAGGGATAAAGTAGAAAGTTGCATCGTGTGCAAAGAAAACAAGCCACGACAACAGAAAGAAGCTCTCATTAACCATCCTGTGCCAACCGCACCATGGCAAGTGGTTGGAATAGATTTGTTCCAACACAACGGCCACCACTACATTGTGATAGTGGACTACTACTCGTTCTACTACGAAACACATCAGCTTCAGAGGACAGCTGTCAATCAAGTGATCAACTGCTGTCTAAAAACATTTGCTGTGCATGGATTGCCAGTCAAAGTCGTTTCAGACAACGGTCCACCATTCAACAGTGCAGACTTTAAGGAGTGTCTACAGCACCGAGGAATCTCCCACGTGACATCCAGCCCCTATCACCCCAAATCCAATGGAATGGCTGAGAGAGCGGTGCAAGAAGCCAAAAAGCTCATGAACAAATGCAGCTATGGAACTACAGACTATTATGACGCCCTACTGGAGCGGCGCAACACACCTCGAGACGGAGTCCTGGGATCTCCAGTTCAAAGGCTTATGAATAGGCACACAAGGACAGAAATTCCCACGCATCCTTCGCTGCTTCAAAGCACAAAAACAAATCACACAGAAATACAACAGCGGTTGAGGGACAAACAAAAGAAACAACGGCAACAATACAACAAAAATGCCAAAACTCTGCCCGAACTCCACACCGGAGAAGATATATTTCTCAGGGATCAACACAGCGGAAAGTGGAGGCCTGCTATTGTTGTAGCAAAAGCACCACAGCCAAGATCGTACATCGTCCAAGACGACGATGGTGTCCAGTGCAGGCGAAACAGCATAATGCTCCGCAGAAGCCAAAGAACGAAAAGGAAACCAGCCCGCTTCAGGGACACAAACTTCGTCAACAAGTAGGCGAAGAAAGAGAGATGTAGGCTGGTACGAACTACAGCACGAGAAAGAGAGCCAGTAGGCGGGGTAAAAGACGACGAAGGTGCACGGGACCACAGGACGGAACACAGAACACGGGCCTTGGACAGCATGGCGGACGGGCTTATGCTACCTCACCTTATTTCTAGTAACGTCTGTAAATAAACGGTTTATTCGTGTAAACTACATATTCAATTTTCCAAAACGTGAAACCCGACAACTACATTATAATAACCTTAATTTGCCGATAACTTACAATGCCTACGGGCGCCGCTTAATATCGTTCATTGGTGCGAAGATATGGAATAACATTTCATGTAATATAAAACTAGCAAGAAATTTTGTACTCTCATTAAAACGATTTATTTCATCTGAAGTGTACAACTCACCCTGTTAACTCCGTACTAGTAGTTATATTATTTGTGCAGCTATGTATAGATTGTGTGAATGCCTATAGGATTGTTTTAAATGTGAATGTTTTTTTAATGGATCCATTACTAGCCATGTAGGCTATGGATCCAGATGACTAATCAGACATTTCTTTGTACATCTTTACGTGAATAAACATTGATCATTGATTGATGCAGCAGACGACGCGGCGACGTCACACCGTTCACGTGACCCGCTCCAGCCAATCCAAAGCCCATCTCCGCTGCGTAAAACAATTGTCTGCTTCAAGCGCCATTGCTTTTAAAATTGCCTTCGCAAAATTTTTACACGCATCAAATATTATTAAGACGTTGATAAAGTGTTTATTGCTTTACCAACTTCACGACAGACTAGTTTCGAAAAGTGTGAACTTGGCGCTTATTTTTTAATCAGCCGTGTTGAGTCGATCTCCGTGTATTCTCCCATAGGGCGGGCCGCCTCCTGGAACCTGTGGAACCCTGAGTACCACGTGACTCGCGCCTAGCTGCTCTGTCGGCCATGTTGCCGGCGAAACACGCGGATCAAAGGATTGCGCTACTCTGCTCCGTAGGAGCTATATAGTGCTCTAGAAACAGCAAAGTTCCGGAGCAGTGACAGCAGCGCCACGTACACTGGGTAGGATGTCCGTCTCCGGATTGCGGGACTCACGCGGCACAGAATTCTACAGTGCTGCAGTAGCGAAACCACGCGGAACTGTCGAACTGTGTCGACGTTTTCGACGTTATGGAAATCGCAGGAACTGCGTCCAAGACAGGCATAGAGATCATACATACTAACTCTCGAGGAAAAGGTCCGCCATTTTCCCATGCATTCTGGCTGCCGCAAGCGGCGGAGTATGCAGAGAGACCCTCGGGGTCTCGGGGTCCCACATGGTTACCAACTGCCTTCGATTTCACAAATATATCATCAGAGCAGTTTCATGAACTTCAACAATCCACGAACTTACCGGTGGAAAGATATTCGCGTTCCTTTCGAAGCTTTCTTTTTGCATAGCACGCAAATGTACGGCCTCCCGTCAACACTAAACTAAACCAGATAACCGGCTTCGGTTATCTGGTTTAGTTTCGTATTTGCGGGCGCGGGTGGCCGTGCCCGGATATACGAAACCGCGCAACTACCAGATTTTCGAGATTTCGACAGAAGGGAAGTTAATGCAGCGTAATGAGTATGCTGCTTTTTATAAACCTTAGAATAGCTCAGAATTCAGTTTGCAACGTTAAATTATCACTGTTTATATTGCTGAAAGTTTTCAGTCTTCGCGATTACCATTGCGACTGTCGTCCTTCAGTTGGCAACGTTGGTTTCTTTCTCTCGTGTTCTGTCGCTCTCTTTCGCGATCTTTCACTCGGGACCCAGGATGTCGGCGCGCGGGATTTGCCACTCCTCCTCACCCACCTTTACCCCCTGAAGACAGGCAGGTTTTGCTGCCGGCTGCCTGGGTGCCTTCCGTGCTGAGTTCGGTTCTGTTTTCCGATGCCGCGTGCAACCGGCGTTCAACGTGGTTCTGCATTTGTGCGTGTCAGCACCATAGCTGCAACATCGTGATGGCAGTGTGGTGGGTTGTGAACAGAAGACTGGAATTATCGCCGATGTGACCGTGTGTTCGCGTGTCAGTGGTGTAACAAGATGAGATGGCGTAAACTGTCCGGCATTGATGCTGCTGGTCGGGACGTGATCGGAGGGGGCGGGGTGTCGCAGGTTGACATTTTGCTTTACATTAAAAAGTTTAATACCACTTGAGGGGTTACGTGCAATCGATCAACGTGCGGATAGTCATGTTGGAACGCTGGTCTGAACAGTATAAGCTCCTATCGTACAGTGGCCAATGTGACTGTCGGTTGTCTCGTCCCCGAGAGCGATTGCGCTCTGGGGCAAGGACAACAGTACTAAATCGTGACGGGAAGTACGCATGTTTACAGTGTGGAATTTTAGCATTAAAAAATAATAGTAGGTAAAATAGAGAGAAAAAAAAAGCTACCCTTTATTTTGCAGTTTAAATATACTACGGTTCCTGGCGAAACTGCCCTCCAAGTGGCGCGCTGGGATGAGCGCTAAAAGTTTTCGAGCTCGCCATGGCGTAGCTCCGTACACTTAACACCTGCCGCAAGTTGCGGCTTTGACTGCATTCAAGTTGATCGAAAATTGATTTCTCAACCCGTGAAGCATCAATTCCAACTGAGTGAATATCCGCTCTACAGAGATTAATTCAAGACGGTAATTGTAGCTTTGGGCGAACAGCACAAATAGAAAAACAAACAAAACAATAGAAATACAGGCTACTACGTGCAGTGCGGGTAAACAAACTCGTGGCTTTGAACCGCATTGGAGCGGCTTGATTTATTGGCTTTCAAATAATTACGGCATGATCGAGCGTTTGCCTTTAAGAGATTCATCCCCTGAGCCATTCAAAATACTCTCAGAGGTATGACATTGCTGAAAAAAAAAATCAACATGCTGGGAATATTGTTTATTGCTTATTCAGTCACCGAAAAATTCCGTCCGTTCAAAACGACCAGTATAAAAGACGCAAACGCAGAGCACGGGTCAGTATCGGGTTATTGTGGTGTTCCGTTGTATTGATATTTGTGTGTGCAGTGCATCTGCTCAATGTATGTTCCCCTGATGCTTGTAATAAGCGTAACGTGTGTATCGTAGAGTATCCCCAAGCGCAATAGTGGCCTGAGAAAATCAAATTATTTTTGTAGAACATGAATTGGGCGGTACCTTGCGCCACCTAGCCTAGCTACTTGCAATTACTCTGCTTGACCCCGCCATCTGGTGGCCAGCGATGTAACCTTCTTTCACGCTACGCGATAAACAGCGGCTTCGAGTTTGCTCCATAGAGTAATCTACACAAGGTAAAGAGCGGACACTCCCATAGGCCCCAGCGACCCATTTAGCTGGCAGGGAGCGCACCCAGCGGCCGTCGTAGTCCCCAACTGAATGAATGGAGTCACAATAAAAATACTTACCGGATGGATTGATATATAGTTTGGCGTAGTGTATTGGGCGGTAGCCTGCGCCATCTGGTTTGCCGTGAGTTATGTTTTTCCTACTATTCCCGCATGGTAAATTTCAGCTGTAATTACATCACACGTATGTACGATTCCTAATGCGGACAACTAATGGACAATATTATATACAGTTAACACTGACTTTACAAGCCAGGAAACCTATGTAGGTTTGTGCTGTCCAGAAGAACACCACCAGGGAGTAATCAACATAGTTTATTTTCGCAACAAAAATATGGTGGGCAGTTTGTGCCTCGTATATAATTACCAAAACTACAAAACATAAGCACCGTGCATCAAGGATTCACAAACAATACATCCTTCAAAAAAATGACAAGCATATTATGGCATGCATGAAAATCTTATCAAACAACTGGAATTACAACGTTACAACTACAATTGGATTGCAAGCCTGTTTTGTGTTCTCAAGCATGTTCCATGGAAGGTGCACCACACACATAACATATGCAGCATCAGCAACACATACTAAAAAAAAAAACTGGCCATGCAGTATCAAAGCTCGTTGATCCAATGCAATTTGTATGCAAATAAAACGCTCAGCAGAAGAAATCTGAAATGCACGATGACCACAATGAGAAAAACAGACAAGTAAATGCCTAAACAAGATTGCCACTAGTATAGACCTTCTTAGACTGTGACATAGTCATTAAATAACCCTAACACAGCCTGAACTACAGAATTAAAAATACCTTGCTCCTGCTGATTTAAGTAACAATAATGACCAAAATAACAAGAACTGAAAGCCAACCGACGGTCTAATACAGGTTTTACGTTCATGTCACGTTTAACATGTCACATTTAACATGTAAGGTTTACCATGACCACTACCATAACAAGCGCACATGAAATGGCTGACAAAAGACTGCTAAATCAGACTGGTGCCCGGTGTACCTGCGACCCACTCATCACAAATGATTCCACCAAGGCTTGGCATGCAATCTGCACTGCCTAATTAGGTACATCTTACAAGGTGTCTACCCAATGACTTTTCCAACGTCCATGATTTTTCCAGGTTTCCCTTGACTATTTTGATAAAATTTCCTGGCTGTTCCTTCCTTCGAAGGATGACATTTCGGGCAATGTTATTCAGCAGAACCGTGACGACACCTGATCGCCGGGCTTCGTTCCGCACCACCGTGCCACTTTTACTCGTCACTTTCCCTGATTTAGCCAACCTTTTGACAGTTTCCCTGATAATTCCCTGAGTTTTCCAGGTGATCCAAAATTCCCTGAGCATTTCAGGCTTGCCAGGTTGGTGGACACCCCTGATCTCAATCTCCTTCACGCTCCACATATGTGTAAAGCAGAAACAGTGTTCAAAAGAAAAGAAAGTTGCATCCGAGATGAGTGACCTAAGAGAGTATTAACAAAGATCAATATGGGAACTTACACATTCCACATGACCACAATAGGAAAAAAACAGACATGACCATCTAAAAAAGCAGTCATTACAATAGACCAGTAGAGTGCAACCTACTGACTGCAAATAATCCCAACAAATGGCTAGTGTGCAGTCTGCACGGCCCAATAAAATCACAATAAAATTAATTTTACTGTTGCAGATATCTTATGAGATGCAACATAAGGGCTGAAACATCATCTTCTACCCACTGAACTTTTCAGGCTGTACACCAGAGACGCGAGAATGGAAGCGAACTTTATCCAAGTTTCTATTTACAAAACGGACATGCCAGCACAATCGAATTCGGCAAAACATTTTTAAAAACCGTGCACGACACTCTGGAGTGCAAAAATTAAAATCACCAACACGCGAGAGAGTTATGTACAATGTTTCACAAACACTTCGGAGGTGCGCTACACTTTCGATAACAGAAAGAAAGATTGACTCGAGCTGCTGAACAAGTGTGAAAGCTGCGCTTGATGGCACAGTCAAGTTGCCGAAGAGCTTGCCTGGGACGTGGTACGCTTTCAGCATCATAAAAAACTGATGTGGCTCATCAAGATTACTGTGCTCATCTCTAAGCAAGTCAGGACAACAACAACCTTCTGCAGCCTTCTCAGTAAACATTTTAGCAATGAAGCCAGCAACATAATAAGTAGCAGAGTTGTCAATAACATGGGACTCCTCATGGGCTGCCAACTCAGTGATGTTTTCCAAAGATGGAAAGTCGTCCTGTGGGACATGCTGCACAACATCCACGAGTGACTCGCTACTAAGTGAAAATGGGGACAACTCCTGGAGGAGGTCCGTCTCATCCTCCTCGACATTTCCCTTCGGTGACAGTGTGAGGAGCTTCTGAATCCCAATGTGTTTCAGGCCAGATATGAACTGAGGCACATTGGGATTCGAGTTGCATCCCTGCTTTTGTCTTATGTGTCCAAACATCTGTTCAAGTGGGTCTTGTTGAAGTCGACGCGTGAGGAGAAACTCAAAGTCGTAATTCTGGGAAACATCTTCCCACAGCAGCAAGACGGCTTTGATCGTAATTTGCCACCCGATGATAGTGTGTGGCTGACGTTTGCCTTCGAACTTCCAAGACGCAATCCATGGAAGCTGTTTTCCGAGAAATTCAACTAAATCCGGCTGCCCTTTTCGAATAGCATGGCGCAACTTTTGCTCCGTTTTCTTTGGACTGGAGCTATTCAAGCAATCAAACAGCTTGTCCATGCGGTCACAAAAATAAGCAGTTGACATGGCTGCTTCAGGCAGCTGTTTCGCATAGACAAGAGCTAAAAGCGCGACGCACACTGAAGCACTCAATACCTGGGTCGCCCGCTTAACCTTCATATTACTGAAAGGTTTCTGGTAGATATGTCTTTCAGTCAACTTTGGCGCCAACCGCAGTCGCATCTCATGTGTGGAGTGGTACAGTTTCACAATATCTGCCCAGTCTACAATCTCATTTTCGATATGAAGCCTGTGGGCCTGCAGGTTGTTCCGAGTTGCCTTCACAAAATGGGGAACATCGTAAATGAAGTAAACGCGTTCACGTTTTACGAAAAAAAAAGGGCTGCGCCACAGAGACACCAAGCTGGTTTGCTAAGCTTACATTGGAAGCCCCTTGGTCACAAATTACAGCTTTAACTGTAATTCCAATGTCTTGCAACTGCTCAGTGAGCGAGATCAACAAGTTACGGATTACGGTAGATGGCGTAGACGTGTGCCCAATTGTATAAGCGACTGGTTGAACCCATCTCCGGGAAACTCCGGAAAGGAGGATAACCAGGGCTCTGTCGGCAATCGTTGAGGTTTGTTCGTAGCCATCATCCGTAAATCCATGAACAACATCTTGTGACACGTCATATGACAAGTTTTTTTTTAACACTATCTCATCGAAGATGAGAGTGCAGACGCGATCGCGCTTACTCCATGATTGTGTTTTTGTAAAAATGGATGACATAATGCCTGGTATAATTCCAGGTGTCATTTTGACATCCGACAGCCATCTTCTTAGTGTGCGCTGAGTAGGAAGGGTGAGATAACGAGACAAAAAACGGTATGCCCGCGGCCCACGGAAGTTGAGATGAAGAGAAAACTTTTTCAACCATAACGGGAATCGTTTTCCCTTGCCCTTGGATTTCAATTTAACATGGCTTGACAGTAGGTGAAATACCTCGTCTGTCACGTGAGGGCGAATGATGTTGAGAGCTTCCGCAGCCGATCGAGGCATATTCTTCTCTTGCTTGCGCAGCCTTGCGATGGTCTTCCGGTACTTTGAAACCTTGGCCTGGAGACGCCTTATGATGTCCTTAGGTCTCGGCGCAGAACTGCGCAGAGGAGGCGTAGAAGTACCTGAAACGGGTAAAAAATAAAAATAACGAAATCAGAGCAGGTAAGCAGTTCTCCTTATAACCAGCACAGCCAACATTACCTTACAGTGACATAATCTGCAAGTAGATAATATGCCCCTAAACTACAGACAATTAGAAATCGTGGGAAACTGGGCTTTTGAAGCTATGTTTGCTAAATTTACATATTTCCACTGTATGCCTTGACAATACAGTACGTAAGGTATATTACAGGTTTTGCATGAAAAGCCCATCACCGGAAAAGTAGACAAACTAATACCCACCTTAACATACGTGAATTTTAGTTATATGAGTAGTAGCATATGGGCACAGGTGAACAAAAGAAATGGGACACTTACAAGCTCCAACTGGTTCAGAGGAGGACCATGTGGACGGTGTCACCGATCGGAAATCCAAGGGCGAGCTGCATGATGGGGCTGTAGCCTCCGTGGAGTCCGCGCCGCACGGTGAGGCTGTCGCTTCCATGGAGTCTGGAAAAATGTGTCTATTAGACCCAGGCTGTTGTTTCCAACACAAGTCCTTCCTCACCATGGGCAGCGGTTGAAGGTTCTTCGGGCCGGAAGCTGGAGGCTGTAGCCTCCATGGGGTCTGCGCCGCACGGTGGGATTGTCGGTCCCATGGAGTCTGGAAATATTTGCCTATTAGACGCAGGCTGTTGTTTCCAACACAAGTCCTTCCTCACCATGGGCAGCGGTTGAGGGTTCTTCGGGCCGGAAGCTGGAGGCTGCACCGCATGATGGGGCTGAAGCCTCCATGGGGTCTACGCTGCACGCTGGGGGTGTCACTTCCATGGAGTCTGGAAATATTTGTCTATTAGACCCAGGCTGTTGTTTCCAACACAAGTCCTTCCTCACCATGGGCAGCGGTTGAAGGTTCTTCGGGCCGGAAACTGGAGGCTGTAGCTTCCATGGGGTCTGCGCCGCACGGTGGGGTTGTCGGTCCCATGGAGTCTGGAAATATTTGCCTATTAGACGCAGGCTGTTGTTTCCAACACAAGTCCTTCCTCACCATGGGCAGCGGTTGAGGGTTCTTCGGGCCGGAAGCTGGAGGCTGCACCGCATGATGGGGCTGAAGCCTCCATGGGGTCTACGCTGCACGCTGGGGGTGTCACTTCCATGGAGTCTGGAAATATTTGTCTATTAGACCCAGGCTGTTGTTTCCAACACAAGTCCTTCCTCACCATGGGCAGCGGTTGAAGGTTCTTCGGGCCGGAAACTGGAGGCTGTAGCTTCCATGGGGTCTGCGCCGCACGGTGGGGTTGTCGGTCCCATGGAGTCTGGAAATATTTGCCTATTAGACGCAGGCTGTTGTTTCCAACACAAGTCCTTCCTCACCATGGGCAGCGGTTGAGGGTTCTTCGGGCCGGAAGCTGGAGGCTGCACCGCATGATGGGGCTGAAGCCTCTATGGGGTCTACGCCGCACGGTGGGGGTGTCGCTTCCATGGAGTCTGGAAAAATGTGTCTATTAGACCCAGGCTGTTGTTTCCAACACAAGTCCTTCCTCACCATGGGCAGCGGTTGAGGGTTCTTTGGGCCGGGAGCTGGAGGCTGCACCGCATGATGGGGCTGAAGCCTCTATGGGGTCTACGCCGCACGGTGGGGGTGTCACTTCCATGGAGTCTGGAAATATTTGCCTATTAGACGCAGGCTGTTGTTTCCAACACAAGTCCTTCCTCACCATGGGCAGCGGTTGAGGGTTCTTTGGGCCGGAAGCTGGAGGCTGCACCGCATGATGGGGCTGAAGCCTCTATGGGGTCTACGCCGCACGGTGGGGGTGTCGCTTCCATGGAGTCTGGAAAAATTTGTCTATTAGACCCAGGCTGTTGTTTCCAACACAAGTCCTTCCTCACCATGGGCAGCGGTTGAGGGTTCTTCGGGCCGGAAGCTGGAGGCTGTAGCCTCCATGGGGTCTGCGCCGCACGGTGGGGTTTTCGCTTCCATAAAGTCTGGAAGAGTTTCGTCTATTAGAAGTTAGGTTGTGAAGCCGTAGAAGCAATATTGTGTTTAAATAAAGTTTTACACAAGTAATATACTTTTCGTATATGAATAGTTAAATAAATCTTTACCTTTAGCTCTCTCAGCATCTGAATATGTCGATGGGCGAACTGAAGGCACAGCGGTTTTCATTAGCTTTGTTCGCCCAGGGTCCATGAAGTCACGCGCTGTGAAGTGACTGCTGCAGACGAAATACTTCGCATGCAGCTCACTGGACGATTTTCGCAGAAGGTCGTCTCTTTTGGCATACCTCAGCCATGCCTTTGACCTGGAAGATGTAGTGAACTTCATTATTCTTTATTTTTGTTAAAAATAAAATATTTGACCATAAAGGCCCGTTCACACTCTTGCAACCGAGTACGACCGAGAGAAACTTCTTAGGACCAGGCGCGCTGCTGCGGAGCTGGTCCTAAGAAGTCGTAAGAGGATTAAAAACCGGTCTTGTCTCTCTCGGTCGTACTCGGTTGCAAGAGTGTGAACGGCGCTTAATGGTTTAGATATTGTGGTTTCACATGGAGGTGATAAGCAAACTAATAGTGCTTCAGAAGGTTGTAGTTATTTATTGACTGCACACATACACAATTTTGCTGACTGGTTAAAAGGTGCGCAATGCTATTTGCTATAAAAAGAAGTGCAACTTTTTTAAGAGTTTGGTAGTTTTATACCAGTGCTGACAATGGGCATCAGCTAGTTTTAGTGCCTTGCTCATTTATAGAAACATTAAAAAAGTTAATCTCAATAAAAAACAAATAAAAAAAAACGAGTTGTGCTTTCCTTGCATGTCATGTTAATTCAGCACGTAGCAACGAATTTGTAATGCAGTCTGCCTTGCAGAGCTGGGAAGCTAGTCCACCACAATCCGGTTATCATGGAACGGAATGTTTTTTAAACTAAATTTAGTACTAACAGAAGTAAAGTTTTGATTAAGTAAGTTTTGATTAAACATTCAGCTTTCTCTCCGGTTTTCATTAGAACTATGCGTCCAGTACGTTGTTAAAACAAAGGACAACCTGTCGTCTCGTGGAACTCGGAAGAACTTTGTTCCTGGCTTCTTGCGCGTTCTCCCATTGTTTCCGCACCAGGCTACGCAACAGTAGCTGCCGTAGCCAAACATCCTGGCGGCATCAGCTGGGAAACGAAAATAGCACAAGTCAATTTGAGATTACGCGAATTTGGTGCCTTCATTTCATAGCAATTCGGGAACCAAAATTGTTAAAGCGACAACAAAGAGTGGTGATAAAGAAAAGCCTTCACGGTATTGTCACCTTCCATTTCTTTGTATTTTCCTCGTGAGCGCGCTTTGCTTAGGATGGCCTCGCCCTAAGCAAAGCGCGCATGAAGGCTACCTGTACCCCCTGCGGTACCTACCCTGCTTCATACATGGCGCCAGGTACAACGCTGTCATAGCTGCTGGCGCAAAAGCCACGCGCTCGCGTTACCAGCATTGACAGCGATGCACATGAGGTATGAAATTGAGTATGCCTTGAGTGCCTTAACTGGCGCTCTCGCTGCACGAGCGCACTCGTGCACGTGCAACTGCCGAGGCTTCATCCAGAGCAATTAGCTCGCGCTTTAGCCCGTGCATCCAACTATAGCCAAAAGCAAGCAAAATACGGTGTCAGTAAAACGACTCACCTTTCTAACAACGGAAGAATGTCGAGAAGCCCGCACGAGCCACTCAAGTGCAGCCCAACCCACCTTTCGAGCGACGTGACCGGAAAGCTACCGTCCGCCGAGCCGACGGCCCCAAAGCCATCCTATGAGCCGCAGCCAAAGCCGCAGCTGTCCAAATTGTTTTTAAAAGTATTTGGAACTGCTATTAATTTTGAAATGTTAGGTTATAGAGTGGAGTTATTTATCAAGGGTGAAAATATGATAAATGTCTAAATTAGGTGTGTGACTGCAGTGCCACTGAACGGTCGTCGTAGTCCCTAGCTCGTGGGCCGCGAATCGGCTCGAGTGTCCCCTCTTTTCGTTTACTGTGTTACTCTATGTTTGCTCTTTCGAGAGCGGCTTTTGGTTTCGCGGATTGAGTTTGCTCTTCTCCGTGATGTGCGGTTGACGAAGGAATTGTGACTCGAGGAACACCAAAGGTAAGACGCAAAGTGCGCAAAGTATCTGGGTATCGGTTGTCTCCGTTTAACCTCGCAGTGCTGTCGACGAGAAGACTGAGTTACTGCTTTCGAAACGTAAGTTTCTGTACCTGTGGGGGGAACCTGGCTTCGGAAATACACACAGTTCGCGGAAAGCTCGTGTTACGCTTTTATTTGCTGCTTCTCTCGTCCCGTACAAGAGACGTAGCGTCCTCGTCAAGCCTTATTGGGCTCGATTCGCTCGATTCGGGGCCGCCATATTGAGATGCAGGCGACGGAGGAACTTTGCTCCCCTGCTTCAGGGACGAAAGTTTCTCCCTTTCTAAAGGAACATAGGTTACAAGACCGTTTCTCCTCTAAGGGAGGACTATCCATACCCTTTTTCCTAAGAGTCTGACTGCGTGCCCGCGCTATCTCTTGGCGGGAAGCTCGACTGAAGCACGTGTTCCCCTGGCCGTGACGGTTGGTGCAACGTAGTCCCATGCAGCTCGGTGAGATCCGCGGCGACAAACAGGAGCAGGACCTTGGTTGTGAAGCGTGTTAGGTACAGCATGACTGTGTCGTGCCCCAATGGTTGCAGGGGGTGTAGCTCCTTTTGAAGATGTTCCGTCGGCGGGAAGAGAAGCGTCGAACGACGCGCCACTGCAAGGTGATGCTCGAGATGGAAGATAGGGCACCGTGACTGCGTTCCCTCGCTATCTCTTGGCGGGAAGCTTTAGTGAAGCACGAGTTCCCCCGGGCATGACGGTTGGTGCAACGTAGTCCCATGCAGCTCGGTTAGATCCGCGGCGACAAACAGGAGCAGGACCTTGGTTGTGAAGCGTGTTAGGTACAGCATGACTGTGTCGTGCCCCAATGGTTGCAGGGGGTGTAGCTCCTTTTGAAGATGTTCCGTCGGCGGGAAGGGAAGCGTCGAACGACGCGCCACTGCAAGGTGATGCTCGAGATGGAAGATAGGGCACCGTGACTGCGTTCCCCCGCTATCTCTTGGCGGGAAGCTTTAGTGAAGCACGAGTTCCCCCGGGCATGACGGTTGGTGCAACGTAGTCCCATGCAGCTCGGTGAGATCCGCGGCGACAAACAGGAGCAGGACCTTGGTTGTGAAGCGTGTTAGGTACAGCATGACTGTGTCGTGCCCCAATGGTTGCAGGGGGTGTAGCTCCTTTTGAAGATGTTCCGTCGGCGGGAAGGGAAGCGTCGAACGACGCGCCACTGCAAGGTGATGCTCGAGATGGAAGATAGGGCACCGTGACTGCGTTCCCCCGCTATCTCTTGGCGGGAAGCTTTAGTGAAGCACGAGTTCCCCCGGGCATGACGGTTGGTGCAACGTAGTCCCATGCAGCTCGGTGAGATCCGCGGCGACAAACAGGAGCAGGACCTTGGTTGTGAAGCGTGTTAGGTACAGCATGACTGTGTCGTGCCCCAATGGTTGCAGGGGGTGTAGCTCCTTTTGAAGATGTTCCGTCGGCGGGAAGGGAAGCGTCGAACGACGCGCCACTGCAAGGTGATGCTCGAGATGGAAGATAGGGCACCGTGACTGCGTTCCCCCGCTATCTCTTGGCGGGAAGCTTTAGTGAAGCACGAGTTCTCCCGGGCATGACGGTTGGTGCAACGTAGTCCCATGCAGCTCGGTGAGATCCGCGGCGACAAACAGGAGCAGGACCTTGGTTGTGAAGCGTGTTAGGTACAGCATGACTGTGTCGTGCCCCAATGGTTGCAGGGGGTGTAGCTCCTTTTGAAGATGTTCCGTCGGCGGGAAGGGAAGCGTCGAACGACGCGCCACTGCAAGGTGATGCTCGAGATGGAAGATAGGGCACCGTGACTGCGTTCCCCCGCTATCTCTTGGCGGGAAGCTTTAGTGAAGCACGAGTTCCCCCGGGCATGACGGTTGGTGCAACGTAGTCCCATGCAGCTCGGTTAGATCCGCGGCGACAAACAGGAGCAGGACCTGGGTTGTGAAGCGTGTTAGGTACAGCATGACTGTGTCGTGCCCCAATGGTTGCAGGGGGTGTAGCTCCTTTTGAAGATGTTCCGTCGGCGGGAAGGGAAGCGTCGAACGACGCGCCACTGCAAGGTGATGCTCGAGATGGAAGATAGGGCACCGTGACTGCGTTCCCCCGCTATCTCTTGGCGGGAAGCTTTAGTGAAGCACGAGTTCCCCCGGGCATGACGGTTGGTGCAACGTAGTCCCATGCAGCTCGGTTAGATCCGCGGCGACAAACAGGAGCAGGACCTTGGTTGTGAAGCGTGTTAGGTACAGCATGACTGTGTCGTGCCCCAATGGTTGCAGGGGGTGTAGCTCCTTTTGAAGATGTTCCGTCGGCGGGAAGGGAAGCGTCGAACGACGCGCCACTGCAAGGTGATGCTCGAGATGGAAGATAGGGCACCGTGACTGCGTTCCCCCGCTATCTCTTGGCGGGAAGCTTTAGTGAAGCACGAGTTCCCCCGGGCATGACGGTTGGTGCAACGTAGTCCCATGCAGCTCGGTTAGATCCGCGGCGACAAACAGGAGCAGGACCTTGGTTGTGAAGCGTGTTAGGTACAGCATGACTGTGTCGTGCCCCAATGGTTGCAGGGGGTGTAGCTCCTTTTGAAGATGTTCCGTCGGCGGGAAGGGAAGCGTCGAACGACGCGCCACTGCAAGGTGATGCTCGAGATGGAAGATAGGGCACCGTGACTGCGTTCCCCCGCTATCTCTTGGCGGGAAGCTTTAGTGAAGCACGAGTTCCCCCGGGCATGACGGTTGGTGCAACGTAGTCCCATGCAGCTCGGTTAGATCCGCGGCGACAAACAGGAGCAGGACCTTGGTTGTGAAGCGTGTTAGGTACAGCATGACTGTGTCGTGCCCCAATGGTTGCAGGGGGTGTAGCTCCTTTTGAAGATGTTCCGTCGGCGGGAAGGGAAGCGTCGAACGACGCGCCACTGCAAGGTGATGCTCGAGATGGAAGATAGGGCACCGTGACTGCGTTCCCCCGCTATCTCTTGGCGGGAAGCTTTAGTGAAGCACGAGTTCCCCCGGGCATGACGGTTGGTGCAACGTAGTCCCATGCAGCTCGGTTAGATCCGCGGCGACAAACAGGAGCAGGACCTTGGTTGTGAAGCGTGTTAGGTACAGCATGACTGTGTCGTGCCCCAATGGTTGCAGGGGGTGTAGCTCCTTTTGAAGATGTTCCGTCGGCGGGAAGGGAAGCGTCGAACGACGCGCCACTGCAAGGTGATGCTCGAGATGGAAGATAGGGCACCGTGACTGCGTTCCCCCGCTATCTCTTGGCGGGAAGCTTTAGTGAAGCACGAGTTCCCCCGGGCATGACGGTTGGTGCAACGTAGTCCCATGCAGCTCGGTTAGATCCGCGGCGACAAACAGGAGCAGGACCTTGGTTGTGAAGCGTGTTAGGTACAGCATGACTGTGTCGTGCCCCAATGGTTGCAGGGGGTGTAGCTCCTTTTGAAGATGTTCCGTCGGCGGGAAGGGAAGCGTCGAACGACGCGCCACTGCAAGGTGATGCTCGAGATGGAAGATAGGGCACCGTGACTGCGTTCCCCCGCTATCTCTTGGCGGGAAGCTTTAGTGAAGCACGAGTTCCCCCGGGCATGACGGTTGGTGCAACGTAGTCCCATGCAGCTCGGTTAGATCCGCGGCGACAAACAGGAGCAGGACCTTGGTTGTGAAGCGTGTTAGGTACAGCATGACTGTGTCGTGCCCCAATGGTTGCAGGGGGTGTAGCTCCTTTTGAAGATGTTCCGTCGGCGGGAAGGGAAGCGTCGAACGACGCGCCACTGCAAGGTGATGCTCGAGATGGAAGATAGGGCACCGTGACTGCGTTCCCCCGCTATCTCTTGGCGGGAAGCTTTAGTGAAGCACGAGTTCCCCCGGGCATGACGGTTGGTGCAACGTAGTCCCATGCAGCTCGGTTAGATCCGCGGCGACAAACAGGAGCAGGACCTTGGTTGTGAAGCGTGTTAGGTACAGCATGACTGTGTCGTGCCCCAATGGTTGCAGGGGGTGTAGCTCCTTTTGAAGATGTTCCGTCGGCGGGAAGGGAAGCGTCGAACGACGCGCCACTGCAAGGTGATGCTCGAGATGGAAGATAGGGCACCGTGACTGCGTTCCCCCGCTATCTCTTGGCGGGAAGCTTTAGTGAAGCACGAGTTCCCCCGGGCATGACGGTTGGTGCAACGTAGTCCCATGCAGCTCGGTGAGATCCGCGGCGACAAACAGGAGCAGGACCTTGGTTGTGAAGCGTGTTAGGTACAGCATGACTGTGTCGTGCCCCAATGGTTGCAGGGGGTGTAGCTCCTTTTGAAGATGTTCCGTCGGCGGGAAGGGAAGCGTCGAACGACGCGCCACTGCAAGGTGATGCTCGAGATGGAAGATAGGGCACCGTGACTGCGTTCCCCCGCTATCTCTTGGCGGGAAGCTTTAGTGAAGCACGAGTTCCCCCGGGCATGACGGTTGGTGCAACGTAGTCCCATGCAGCTCGGTGAGATCCGCGGCGACAAACAGGAGCAGGACCTTGGTTGTGAAGCGTGTTAGGTACAGCATGACTGTGTCGTGCCCCAATGGTTGCAGGGGGTGTAGCTCCTTTTGAAGATGTTCCGTCGGCGGGAAGGGAAGCGTCGAACGACGCGCCACTGCAAGGTGATGCTCGAGATGGAAGATAGGGCACCGTGACTGCGTTCCCCCGCTATCTCTTGGCGGGAAGCTTTAGTGAAGCACGAGTTCCCCCGGGCATGACGGTTGGTGCAACGTAGTCCCATGCAGCTCGGTGAGATCCGCGGCGACAAACAGGAGCAGGACCTTGGTTGTGAAGCGTGTTAGGTACAGCATGACTGTGTCGTGCCCCAATGGTTGCAGGGGGTGTAGCTCCTTTTGAAGATGTTCCGTCGGCGGGAAGGGAAGC